TCTCTCTCTCTCTCTTTCTCTCTCTTTCTATCTCTTTCTCTCTCTTTCTTTTTCTATTTTTGTTCTCTCTTCCTTCCTCTGCTCTCTTTCTCTTGTTTCCTACGATCGAAAATCCATCCTTTCACTGAAATCTTACTTACGTTATTTTTTATTTGTTTTTTCTATATTACCTTGTTACACCCATTATCCCTCCTGCCTTTTCCCAATTTTTGTGCTTTCATTTAGTTGTTCTCCAATTGGACTCCCAATTGTTCTCCAACTCTTATTTCGACAAATTCGAAATATTACGATTGAGTCGCGCGATCCTTTACGATTTCATTCCAAATCGGACGAACGGAATAACAAACTCGTGAAAAAGTTACACTATTTTGCGCGACAGAAAACTGGTATCTATTAAAAGTTCGTCGATTTTTCCAGTCGTACACAATCCGTGAAATTCTGCGTGTACAAACTCTGACCAAACTCTCAATTCCAATGCCTCAAATCCATTTGACATATCTCCCACTATATGTGCCGATAGTTATGACACAGTGGACTAAGTAAACAAAAATCATTTACTTGGGCTACTATCATCATTAGCAGCACATATGTTTATATGATATATACATTACAAAATCAATTACTCGAACCGTAGGAAACATATATATATATATATATATATATATATATTAGTATATATGTATGTATTTATTTAGTAGCGTATAAGACTTTTGCTGAACAGGCAAGGAATACAAAATCACATATGTCAAAGTATCGTAGCGCTTTCGTTGCAAACATACAAGAAGAGTTTTTTTTATTAATCGATAACGGTCACGTGTGTATAGTGTCAAGCAGCTGCTGTCAGTTTATTCATTAAATACTCGCCATGGGTTGGATTAAAGGAACCGAAAAAAAAATGAGGAAAAATGTTGCGATTGACCGTTCTCGTGAAATAAAAAAACAAAATCGTCTGGTTGGAATAAGAAAGGAGGCTTTTTTTTTCTCTCGTCGAGGTTGTTTGAATTACTTTCCTAGTTGGTTCCTAATTATTATTTGACGATGAATACTGCTGCCTCGTTTCTACAAATTCCATAAGACGCGCTTTATATTTCCGGAGGGAAGGAAAAGTTCTTTCTCGTTTGAAAAAGGAGCGACTAAGTTAATCCCTCCTTTTTCAAAATCGGTGGTGTGTGCCTGTGACATTATGAGCTTTGCAAAGGCTATAACGGTATCTATTTTGTACGACGAAACAGAGCAATTGGATCGAATCGAAGAGGGGATGGATCAAATCAATGCGGACATGCGAGAAGCCGAGAAGAATCTTACTGGGATGGAAAAATGCTGCGGACTCTGTGTTCTTCCGTGTAACAAGTACGACTGTTGCATTACGTTTATTACTATTTATTAGGATTTAGGCGAAAAGCAATAAAACATTATCGTTAGATTCGTTATCTCCTGTTGATTATTATTACCTACAATAGGAGTGCAAGTTTCAAGGAAGACGAGGGAACGTGGAAGGGTAACGACGACGGTAAGGTCGTTAATAATCAGCCGCAACGCGTGATGGACGAACGCAATGGATTAGGCCCTCAGGGCGGGTACATCGCTAAGATCACCAACGACGCGCGGGAAAACGAAATGGAAGACAACATGGGTCAGGTGTCGACGATGATCGGCAATCTCAGAAACATGGCAATCGATATGGGCAGCGAGCTCGAGAATCAAAATCGACAAATCGACAGGATCAACCGGAAGGTAAGACGAACATCGCTTCCTTTTATTCCACTACATTTTATTTTCATATCATTACTTTTCCATTTGCGCGCTACTTTTGGTATATACGCGAGCAAAAAATGTATTTTTCTTTGAGTGCGATTTTTTCTATCTCTCACCACGATGCACGCGTTAACCGAAAGGATGCACACGTTCTTCGTCGCTTATCTCATCACTTTCTCAAATAATTATTCTTTATTCTGCTATGTCGTAAAATGTCTTACATGTACGGCACCACAACCTTATCTTACATATTATAATCCGAAGCCTTTTCTTTTTTCTTTTGTCCAAATGAAATACCACTCTTCTTATGTTAGGGCAAAAAGAAAAAGAAAGTTTGGAAGATATTCGCTCGATCGCCCTGTTCGATTTCAAATTCCATTAACGACAAAACAAGTCATTCATTTGAAAAAACATGCGTTTGGTGTTTGTGCGTAACTTCTTTTTTTCTAAATAATAGATTGATCAATATTATTTCTTTCCCTTTTATCTATGAAATTATTTGAAGAAGCAAACGAACGGATATAAGATCAAAGAAAAGTCAATTTATATGATGCATTTCAAACTGTTATGTGTTCAGAGTTTAGCCCCCAACTTAGCGCACAAATATTCCATCCTCACCGACTTTTTCAACTTTTAAAGCATTCTCTAGCGAAAGAATAAAAAAAACAAAGAAGAATTATCGGCATACGCTTGAGCACTAGCATCGCACAAATGATCTGATTTTTGATCAAATTTCGACTGCTTACGCGCACTTGATAATACAATAAGATATTTGATCATTATATATAAGAATATTATTAATCAAGATAGGATGAAATTTCATGAAACTTTAGAAACGCTTTGCATACTAATCCTAAATAAATCCTAACACTGTACGTAGTTGTTTTAATTTTCATCGCTTACTTATTCAACGACATTGAAATATCCAAGCACCCTGTGTACGATTCCCAAATGTACATTTTTATTCAAGTGCGCATGACACACGACGCATCCATAAAAAAAAAAGCCACACGCCTTTCTGTAATGAAAATTGCTAATCCGCAGGGCGAATCGAACGAAACGAGGATAGCGTCGGCGAATCAACGGGCGCACGACTTGCTCAAGTAAAAAACAAAACTTTCAGCGTGTGCTACTCAACAACCCGGGTATATTTCAATATATTTCAACCTGTTAGAAATAAATGAAAACACGCATATCGCATATATATATATATATATAGAAATGGAATAAAATATATATGTCTTACCGTCAAATCTATACAAGGCCCAGAGAGGGTTTTGCTCGATCGATACAAATTCAAGGGGAGAAACGTTTACCGAAGCATATTTTAGAGATTATCCGAAACTTGTTAACAACTTTGTGAAAGAATTTGTTCATTTCTCAAAACAAACCTGTTTCACTTAGACGTCACTTCGGCGGCCTCCATATATAATGGTCTAGTAACTTTTGAGCCACCCTGCATATATATCCGTCTCCTCGAAACCTCTAGCTACCCCCGAATATAAAAAAGAACATAAAATATGTAAAACAAGAGAAAATAAGAATATCGGTGCAAACGAATGAGAATGGAACCTGGAGAAAGAAACATCCGCCGAGCAATGCGACATTTTCTCTCCCCGTTTTTGTATTCTTTCGTTATTGGTCGGACATACCTCGTCCAATAAATGTGTCGACATTTTATCTCCTATATAATAATATTACTCTTCTTCTCCTTCTATTTTTTATTCAATTTTATTCCTTTGCAACGAATTTCTTTTTTTTTTTTTTGTTTTTCGATCCAATGCGCGATACCTGTACAAAATTCAACAGGAAAAAATATATTTACTGGTTAAAAGTCTTTTTTTAATTTTATTCTTCGCGAGATCTCTCTTGTAGATGTACATATAAAAGAATAATAGTTTGGCGCCATGAATTCGCAACAACAAGAAAAAAAAAGAAGAAGAAGAAGAAGTGTACTTTATAAAAAGTGTATTTTTCAATTAATTATTATATTAACAATATGTGAACAAATAAAATGAGAAAATAATGTAAAAAAATGTAAAGAGAGAAAGAAAAAATCGCACGGTTTCGAGAGGATTCGTTTGGCGGATCCTTGGAGTAAAGAAGATGGACGCGCATTCTAATGGACGATGTTGGTGCGTCCGTTTGTAAAAGATGGGAATATTTTTGACACGCAGGGCGACTCGAACCAGGCAAGGATACAGGTGGCCAACGAGCGAGCCCATCAATTGCTCAAGTAAAGACACCAATCACGACCATCTCTCTCTGCACCCCCGTTTCGGCCACCGTGTCATCACCTACTATTTACTACTACAACAATACAACACCCATCACAACTATTACTCACAATTTACACTAAACTTTTTTCTCTCTCTCTTTTTTCCTTATTTTCCTTACAGTATTACTATTAATATTATTATCCGCTGTGAGATACCACATGCCGAAAGGATAAACGGAATTAAAATGAGAAGCAATATTGTCTGCGATAATTGTTCATCGACAAACATTTACTCCCATTTCTTTTATTTGATATTTTTTAAACTCGATTTATACGATTGTAGTTTATCTCAAAAAAAGGAAAAAAAAAGAAAAAAAAAGAAAAAAAAAGAAAAAAAAAAAAAAAAAAAAAAAAAAAAAAAAAAAAAAAAAAAAAAAGAAAGAAAACAGAGGAAAATAAAATCCAGTCGTATCGTTCGATGAATCATTTTGTTTTTCATCGATACTAATAATAAAACGCGTGAGAAGACATATCGCTTGGTAATCGATTTAACTGCAATTTTCCGTACTTAAGGAAACCTTCCTTCCTTCCTTCCTTCCTAAGTCAAGATACGTATTTAGCAATGCTCTCTTATGGTGTCCAACCGTGAATTTCATACGCTGATTCGTTAAACGGTTTTTTAACATCGATAGTTTAATCCCCGTCCATTAAAAAACAGAAATACATATTTATTTATTTATTCTCTTTACTCGCGTTCTCTTGTTTTTCTTTTTTTTCTCATTTTCTTTTTCGATAATCGTGTCAATTTACACGATGTACATACGCAACTCGCGCACACACAGATAACACACGCCACGTACACGTCTTACGTTCACCCTACCTACGTCGCATACCAAAATGGAATAAAAAATGAAAAAAAAGAGAGAGAGAGAGAGAGAGAGAGAGAGAAGGAATCTTGTTCGCGACGAATTCGTCATCCCTCGTAAAAAAAGATTTCAAACGAGCTCATATTTTAAGAAATCCTTGAAGAATAATACGGCGCTTAATTAGAGATCAGCGGAAAGTAATGAATCCGCGATTATTAGCAATTACGCCGAGAAGAAGAAATTGTAAATTTTCAAAAGTCGACTCACACGACGCGCGTTAGAAATAAGCCAGAGAATAATAACTATTATTATACGAGAGTCAAATTTCTTATCTCGACGATCCGCTAACGAGTACAAAGCTAATTAAAAAGAAAGAAAAAAGTAAAAAATATAAAAATAAAAAAGTAACAAAAAAAAATCTTCGAACAAATAAATAAAGCAATTATAATGAATAATTATCATAGATCGAGACCGTATAGTCCGAGATTTTCCTTGTAATCATCATTATTATTATTATCATTGTTACTATTATTCTCTTATTATTATTATAATAATATTAGAAGCACGATTTTGAATTATCGGCGCTATTATCGAGTGCGACAACTCTCTTGTATATGAAAAATCAATAATTATCAAATAAAATGATATATAAATAAAACACACAATTGTGAACACGAGAAGCAACAATTTATAAAAAGAGAACACCACATATGAAAGAAAAGAAATGGACGAACTCGCGTTAACGAGAAACTCAAGTTCTTCGTGTTTCGAGAATGACACCGACATGCACACGTGCGAAATCTATACGAAGAGGATATAGAAAACAAACGTAATTACGACACGATCTGGTTAATGAGAGAGAAAAGATGAAATATTGGCCTTTTCTATAGGTACAAATATAGATATCCTTGTTTCTTATTCCTTTATAGGCCAATTTTATGATCCTTAATTGCGAAAGAACAACCTTTCAATACATATGAATAATTTGTCAAGATATTTGCTTAAACATTTCAAACTAGAGTTAATAATCGATATAAAATATTGTATGCGACTCGAAAGTTATACGGAGAAGAGAATGCGGAGAATAAATTATTAATGAAATACATTTGACGCGTAAAATATTGAAAAGATTTAGTATTATAGGATGACTCGTTCTTTCTATATATCTGCGTACGTGCATGACGATTTTCATCGCATAATCATATTTTTCTCTCGCACTTTGTGTGTATATACCTCGTATATACGAAAAGCCACATAAATACAACACACATATATACGCGCGCATATACGACGAGGCAAAGGGTGAGAATAAGGGGGAGAAGCCGCGGATAGAAAAGGAAAGAGTCGGGGAAAAGTGGTCCTACGAGTGGAGGACTCGAAAACAAAGAATTTCCAACGCGAAGAAAGAAACTCAAGAAAATGGTGAAAAGGAGAAGAAAAGAAAAATAAATATCTAGAAGGTCGAGGAACAAAAATACGTCCTTATGGTCGGAAATTTGCGACCTTGGACAAATTTCTAGATAAATAATAATCTTCTTCTGTTTTTCTCGATTTCGATCTCGTCTGGAAATAAAATGGCGTTGCACACACGCGATCCGAAGAGACGCGTCAAAGGACGCACACCTACTCTATTACCTAAAACATACTTTATATACCTACACATACACGCACGCAAACACACACACACGCGAGATACGTAAATCATAGAAGTTAGGTGTTCTCCACCTCCTCCCAAAGTTGACGCGCCCACGCGTTCTTCGAGGTCACAGTAAGATATAACTCCAATAGTTAGCTGATTAACCAAAGGAATGGAAAAGGAGGAAGAGAGGACATAAAATATTTAAAAAAAAAAACATACGAACAAAACCAAGTTGTTAATCCTACAGAGCAAAGGGCACAAACTTATTAAAGCGTTGACCACCACGATTATAATTGTAAAAACATGTTAAACTCGCGTGGGGTAATCAACGTGCTAATATAGAGAAAAAGATAGGGAAATCGAATGTGAACAATATAGGGAGAGAGAGAGAGAGAGAGAGAGAAAGAGCTATATACATATTTAGGAAACTTTTCCTTGCACTTTTGCTTGATACCACTCTCGAATATGTCAGCTGATAAACGTGCCGGTAATTATGACAGTAGACTATAAAGTTACAAAATTATAATTATGAAATATTATATAATGAAATAAATGAGTATAATTTTGTAACTTAAGCCACTGTGTCATAATTAGCTGCACAAGTAAGACGGCGGCTCGTAATTTTGGAACGCTTCGCTGGACGAAAGTGTTGTACCGATAATAAGTCGTTTAAATGTGTTACTCGTGTATGTAAAGAGAAACGGACTCGAGGATCGTTAGAGGCCTCTGGATAAAGGAAGACAAAATGTTTTCCCTTATAATTGAATAAAACACAAAGAGAAAAAAAGCGAAAAAAAGCGAAAAAAAGCGAAGGAGGATGACGACGAAGGCACAAATGTTGTTACGTGTGTGTACATATACACCCTGTATATGGTTATAAAAATATATTTATACGTGTGCGTGAGTAATGTGTGTATTGCAGACGCGTGTGTGCATTATGTAAAGATAAAACGCACGCGCGTATATGTGCCGGCAATTACGATAGTGGCCCAAGCCAGAAAACGACACAGACATTTATTTGGTAATATAAAGTAAATCATAGGGGCAAACTTGATTTTTCCTATTTTTTCACTTACGATTAGTCCACTACTGTCCACTGTCACAATTGTCGACACGTATGTAAACGGATATTTCGAAAAAATATGAAGAAAAAAAAGAAATAACGCTGCGAAAACTATCTCGAAAATTCTAGAAAATCGTTATTAGTAAACTAAAGCGAAAATAACGCGGATGTGGAAGAGAGTCAATAAGAATAAATGCAAAAGTGGGATCGAGCAATATATAATTACTATTATTATTATATTATTGATTATCTATTATACGATTATATTATACGATTAACTTTGTTGTTATCGTCTCCTAAAGAATGAGAGATTAAGAAAACTTGAAGAAAAAAGAAAAGAAAGAAAAAAAATAATGATCGACACGTACATGCAAATACGCAGAGGCGCGCATATAACATATACAAACATATAACACGAGATATACATAAGAGAACAAAAAAATCCTTGCGTTCGCCAAGTTTTCGGGAAATCCATCTCTTAGCCCGGAAATTGGCGCGAATAAATATATTATATATTATATAGCGAGAACTAACGTGATTAAAATGCGTTATTTAAGGCGCATACTTTGAAATACCTACTCACAAATGTATAGATAAAACGCAGGTAGATTTTAGCAAAGAAGTAGATAGAAAACGATAGAGGAGAGTTACATTTGAAGAGAGATAGAGAGAGAGAGAGAGAGAGAGAGAGTGAGTGCTGTGTATGCATGTGCACGAGTATGCGTCAGAAGAGGAACGAATGAGAGAGCGAAAAAGAAGAAAAGATAAATAAATGGGGAGGGAGGCAAAATGAGGTCAATGAAGAGAGAGAGAGAGAACTTCTATACCACCCCGTGGTCACTCGAGAGAAATCCCAGGCTTTCTATCGGAACGATCCAAAAATGCGATGGTATTTTTGTCAACTAATTGAACTTATTTATTTTACGATTCCAACTAACTGCGCCAGGGTTTGTAAAGTAATAATAAAGCAAACGATTAGTTCTCTCGAGTCGAATTATCGCGGAGTCATTTTGCAATATGTGCAAATGAATTGTTGTTGCCTCTGATTAACGATACAATTCAACGAATTTTCTGAACGGATTCAAAAAAAGAAACAAGGAGAAAAAGAAGACAATTCTCTCGATGAAATCAATGCGCGTGTTCCATTGCAAATATATACTCGGTTGGTTCGAAACTTGACAAAACGGATGAAAATTCAAAGAGCAAGGGAAAGAGGGAGAGGGAGAGAGAGAGGCTTAAACTCGTTTGAAAATAGACGAGTCGAGCATATTTCATCTTTTCTTCTTTTATCCGTTATCTCGCGATGTTGGTGGGCTTGGCCCAGTTTCCAAGTTTGCGTTCGTTAACTATTCTATGTTCTTTTCTCTCTTTCTCTCTTCTGAATTTCTGACTCTGTCAATGGAAATTAAGCGTGTTACCATATCTACTTTTCCTCTTGTTTCTTTCTTTCTCCCTCGAGGTCTCCCTTTACGTTTTCATTCCATTTGAAAACTAATATAAGATATTCGAAAGAATTATTATTTCATGTTTGATTAAAAATACATTATACGTATGAAGGAAAAAACAATTAATAAACATATGCAATTTATTTGCAAGACAAATAATCAGGTAATATCGAGATCGATTTACGGGACCACCGTTGCAAATGTTTGCAAGGTGAGAGAAAAGAAATTTCTCGTTAATTACGAGGGAAATGAAAATGTATGCGAGAGAGAGAGAGAGAGAGAGAGAGAGAGAGAGAGAGAGAGAGAGAGAGAAGGAGAAGAAAAAAAAGAAGCAAGAGTGATGATCTGTTTCGATTTTCTCGAAAACAAAGGATACAGAGTGAGAATGTGCTCGTGCCTATCCGTGTTCGTGTGTAAAATGCACATACCTGACACGTATACGCGTACACGCGTGGACATTTCGAAATAATCGAGATAAAAACCATTGAAATTAAGCTTCTCTCTTTTTAGTATCGATACGTTGCTAGATGTATCTCAGAGATCGTGGTAATAAGAAGTATTATTCGCCAGAGTACCATTATTATTGTTATTTATTATGATTATTATATATTATTATCATCATTATTATAATTATTCTTCTTCTTATTATTATTAATAATAATAATAATATTATTATATAACAAATGCCTGTGTATTTTACTTCTCGGCAAATAAACAGAATATTGTACGTTGCCGCTGTAACCCTTCTGATCATATTGCAATACCTTTCCTTATTCATTTCCAACAAATGTAGAAAAGAAAGTAAGTACCTTGGAGCATATTAATAAAACCTATTTGAATTTCTAAGCTATTTTTAACGACGATAGTTTTGTTTAAACGTCGAGTATTCTTTGTTGGTATTAAAGAAATGTCGTGTTTGACAGTGTATGCAATTGTTATTGGAAGGATGTGAGAAAGAGGTAGCCAAAGTCCATGGCGGTGGCTGCTGCTTGTCGTTGAAATTCCTTCTGAATTGCCGTTGTTGCCTCTGTTGCTCTTGTTGTTGCCTCCGTTGCTCTTGTTGCTGTCGTCTGATCAAAGTTGGTCTTGGATAACGCGGGGATGCGCAAGAAGCATGGAAAGGTAAAGGTATTATTGGTGGTGGAGTCGGAGGACAAGGAATATCTGGGAGTAAGTTTGTTCGTTGAACCATTGGAAAATCTTCGGGATCAACGTTGGCCGTCTGTTGAAGTTTGCATCTAGAGGATCCGCGTTTCGCGCAACAAGCGCACAGCATTCGAGGTCTCGCGGGGGCTCGACTAACCGTTCTATTCTGGACATGAGGATTCTCTCGTCTCGACAAAGTGTCTTGTAACGTACCGCGAAATCGATCGTAAGCATCAGTCGCTTGAAATCTCGAAAGAACGTGACTTTTCTCGCTTCCTCTTGAACTTTGATCAACTTTTTCAGGAGAAACGATACTTCGTTGAACCAACTGTTCCCAAGCTCTGAGAATCGATTAAGATTGAAAACGGTGAAAAAGGAAAAAACGAATGGGAATAGGAAGATAAGAAACGTTTACCTTGGAACGTCAGCTCCACCGGATTCTCGGCGACTTTTTTCCTCGATTTTAAGAATTTGTTCGAATTTGTCTAACAATTTTTGTCGATCCTGTTTGCTCGGTTTAGAAATAAATTCCTTTTCTACTTTATCGTTATCGGTGAAACGGAAAAATGTCGAAGGCAACAGCTTCGTATTTGGAAACTCTTTGTTTTTTCCAACAAAATTCCTTTTTTCTTCGTACTCCTCGGATTGGGGAGGAAACGGAGGAGGTACGGGTGCAATCATTGCGTTAGATACATTTTTATTTTCGCGAGATTTCAAATTCGCTCTCATAGATATGTCACTTTTTTTTCCCGACGAAATTTCATTGTCATCCTGTGATATTCCTTGATCGTGTTTGTATGTACTTTTGACAGGTTCGTTTGTCGACAAAATTGGACTAGATCGAATTTTTCTGAGACGATCTATTTGCAACAGTTGTACCGATCCACGCGGGGTTAATACAAATTTGTGTTCCTGTTGACGTTTCCGTTTGCTTAAATTTCTCTTTTCGGAAGAAACGATAGGCGGCGATTCCAACGTTTCTTGTACCAACGATCGCGTTTCTATAGTATCTTCGTCCGATTCTTGGAATAAATTTGTATGATGTTTAGAACATGGACTCGAAATGCGACTGAAAATCCAAGCGCGATAATGAAGTTTTTCCGGGCCGATATAAAATTCATTGCTGTGCGCGGTCTGAACTAAACGTGACAGTATGCCGAGCAGAAACTACAAGAAATGAATGAACATTTGATTCTACAAATACGTGATAAATGGAATCATATTATATTTTATAATTATACACGAACCTGATAAAGTGAGAGACAAATTAAGAAAAATATTAAAAATAATCCGATCACTCTAGCGTGGGTTAAAATGATGGAACGACATCCAACGTTCCAAACAGTTTCTTCCTTATTGAAATCGAAATTACAAACTTGACTAGCACCAAGAATTTCTCGATGTCCACATGGTTCTACGAATTTGTTGGTACAACATGAAAACGGTACATCTTTGACAGTTGCCATTTTTCCTTCGTCCTTTTCCATCGATCTTTCGAAACATAAAATACAACTTCAATCTTCAATCTTAAATTTGTATCTTTGGATAGGAATTAAAGTGAGATAGATAATAATCGGTCCGATTATACCCACTGCCCCTCCTGTTGTCGTTCGTTATCCACATAGTCAAAATATTCCGTCGATCTTTTAGCCCAACTGATGTGAAACCAATCGCGATAATCCTCGCTACCGCAACATTGGAATTCCATTTGAACGGCATCTACGCAAGATCTAACTCGATCGTCGTTAGCATAATTGTCCATAGCTTCGATCAGATTATCGAAAGATCCGTCGTCGCGAATCTTTTCTTGAAATGTAGTAGATTTTAGAAAACAAGCAACATTGATGGCAGCAACGAGACATCCAGAGATCAAACAGAGAATAGCATGGAGGAATAATATACGATTGGCTTCGAGACCACTGTTCTTTTCATTATTAATATCGTCGGCAGAATCTTGAAAGTCCGAGTGCTCGGAATCGTCTTCTTCGAATTGACTTTTGTTTCTTGGTGCGCCAAGATTAAGACAGAGGTAGGCTTTCAATCCAAGCAAGTAAACAGGAGCGCATGGTACAGCTGCGACTACTATCACCGTTGGCCAAAGGTGTCCATCACCTGCTCGTCGTGATCTGCTCGTTAACCCACGGCGTAATACAAATTTAACGAATGTTGCGTTTAATCGGAGCATTTTAACAAATGCACTAACCTGGGACTGCGAGATTAAGATAATCGCCAATGTCTCGTCTAAGTTTTATTGCCCACATTATGCCAGCGAACACCACGATCAAACCGATCGCGCTCATAGTGGATACGATCGCTCGAAGAACTTTAATCGACCTCCAAGTAAAACTAACATTAGGTACACCCATGTATCAACCCGACGCGAGGTACTTCCGTATCGTCATTTTGACTGAATATATAAACATGAATACATGAACATTAATATGATCTTGGATCGAATATTTTTTTGCGATATATCGATATACATACGCGTATGTAATTAAATATAAAAGTATACATATCTCTATGCATTTGTTTCTATATCATCTAAAATGAAGTTTTTAATTGTTACGCTAATCGCGATATATTTATCATAGGTTTACTATTTTTTTAGGAGGATTTTCGTGATAACGTTTATACATTGTTAACACAAATAAAGTCTCGTCTATATGCAACTCCGTAGCACTTAATTTTTTAATTACATTTTGCACTTTTTCCAACTGCTGTTTTTCCGAGGGCGTCATCAGTTCTTCGATCTCTGCCAATTGTTCTTCAGTTGCTCCTGCTTCTTTCAAATTACTGCTAAGCGTTTGCACACGTAATTTTTTGTCTATCAACCGCTTATTGACGATCATTTCGTGTTCTCTCCTTTGCCTGACGTTATACAAGGCGTGATGACAATCTCGCATTACTTGTCGGGTAATTCGATCTAAATCGACGTGATATAATAAAAATACTTTAGCCAACGCAGCGGAACTAGAAGCCTTTTTCAATTCTTGCAATTGTATAAAATTATTTGACACCAACAGGAACATCAAACATTTGGCCTTTTTCTCAGACATCATAGCTAATTGTAAAATCTGTGCTTGTTCAATATATTTTTTAGTAGGTATTAACCTGTCGATAAAAAAAAGAAAAATATATATATATATATATATATAGGGGATAAATCTATATGGATGGACCTAATCTAAATGTTATATTTAAATACTACCGAAATATCCTGACTGCGTCAGATCCGAAACGTTCCAACACAACGTTTTCTAACGTTGACCACGCCAATTGATAAAAAGCCTGCTTCATACTTATACTGTATTGTCCACCACCTGAATCTCCTACGCGTCTTATAAATTGACACTTATCTTCTGCTATAATCAAAAAGTAATAAATAATTCTGGTATAAACAAAAAGTAAGGTAAATGATGCTTACTCTTGGCATCCTAATCCATACCTAGAAGAGTCAAATATTGATCCAGATATTGTAAAAGTCTTGGATATTCTAATTTTCTTACTGCATCTTTTATCTCCGTATACGGTATAGGATTAGATGTATCTGCCCAAGATGCTGTCCTCAGGTACATAAGGAAAAGTAACTGTCTCATTAACTCTCCGGCATTATCATCGAATCTTGTACGTATGGCTGATACGATAACTTGGTCTCTACGATAAGCAAATAAATTTATTTAATAAATCTATTTAATAAATCTCTATTCTCGGACCGGTCCAAGTTTATTTCAGTTATTCAATGATTCACCTAAAATCCTGAGTAAGTCTATCAAAATTAACTTTCCAATATACTTTACTGTCTCCAGGATCATCTTTCACGCCTTTAATTATATTTTCTATTGCACTTAAATTAAGTTGCGGCAAAGTAAACGCAGGCTTCTCTTCGCAGTCACTTTTTAGATTTGTACACAAATCGCGCATAAAGAATTGGTTTTTTACTATTAGATCAAAATTATTTTTCAAAGATGACACAGATGGTTGTATATTACTGCCAGCATCTAAAATATAAAATCAATGAAATTCCTGAAACTACTTCGAATAATCATCTAAATAAGAAGAATGATTACCAGAAGATTGTTGAATCTTTTTGTACGCATTTATTATAATTTGCGATGCAGTTAAATATCCTTTTTTCAGCACTTCCTCCATCATTATCTCAGATTCATCTCCGCATACATTTTTAACGAAAAACATGTATCTATTAAATAATATATATATTTATGAAATAAAGGCAGGGGTATTGTTGTATGTACAAGTCATTAGCATACCTTGGATATCGAAGTATAAAAATAAATTTTTCTTGCTGTAAACTATATATTATAGATCTCTCATCTCGATGATAACTTACTAATCCATATTTGATAAGAGAGCATAAAGATTCCTTCAGCTAAACATTGTTATACAAGACTTTATTAATGAAATTCAACATGGTATATTATTATATATTTAAAAAATGACATTTTTTTACCTTAATGAGTGGAAGACGAATATTCTGTTGAAGGAGTTTTAACGTTCTAGGTCCACGTGTAAAAAGTTCATCTACTACACTCTGTACAATAGGTCCAAAGTGTTCTAATGTAATACTTGAACATAAATTGGCATACCTCGCCGTCATGTTTGCTATGCATTCAATAATATATAACACTCAATAACTTAAATATAATTTTTAAATCGTAGATACACCTACAAAGCAATTTTAATATCACCTTAGAAAAATATCAACCTTCTAACATAACCTTACTCGTACTCCATTGCAACGAGTGCATGTGCGAGCGCATATGCAATGGTTTATTTCGTTTCTGCTAATTGCGCACTCTGTCGGTAACTGCAGTCGGTTGGTACGATCGGTAAGTATTGATTTTATTATCATCAATTAGTGCCAGTCATCTCACGCGAGATGGCAGCACCGAAGGAACTCGACAATGGCTCTAAATTGAACTGCATTTAAAAGGATGCACATTCTTCAATGTGCATAATGAAATTTCTCGTAATATAATGTTAAAATGAACAAACACAATGAACAAAAACAACAAAATAAAGTTCTGTTAATAAATTCATTGCACTCATCTTAATATTTTAAAAGAAAACAGAGCATTATACGATTTCTCTCGTCAAAACTAGCATTTATTTTCGAAATCGTTTCATAAACAGCAAACTAGTCACGAGCGGGTTGCTTGGTAGGCTCTTTATACTTCTAGCAAATAACTAAATAATTCACGTTGCTACAATTAAAGGGAAATGCATTATATTAATCGAATGAAGTATCTTATCTTGTTATCACGTAATCGCCATTAAACCTGCGTTTAAATAAAAACGCGGAAATTAAAATAAAAAACAATTTATTAACGACATAATTACAATAGTATATTCTGCATGTGGTAAGCAATATATCTTTTCTTTATACATCCTTTCTCCTTCTCCAATCATTCGGATATATCATCTTGGCAATATTTCTTTTATTTAATCATCACAAGCCTACCATAAAATATCCGCACTCGCACACTTGACATGAATTTTTCTTTTTACTCTCTTTATTTTTTTCCCCCACATTTTTTCTAATCCGCCCCCTTCGCGGTCAACATTGCTATTAGAACGGTTCCTAAACGCAGCTGTGACTGTAATCGTGTGTAAATTGATTTTAATAATATATTATTTATTTTTGTATTCTCTAAGCACGGTAAGCCAAGTTCGCAACGAAAAAATACGCCTGGACCAATTTTTTTCCTCAAATTTGTAATCTCGCAATCAAGATTCTTTCTTCGGACGTATTTTATCATCTCTTTTTCTTATATTATTCATCTCTTTTTTGTTTTTTGTTTTGCGATGTTTACATATCTAATAAGTGCCCTTTTTTTTCTTATTTCTTACAATAAAAAACAAAAAATTTCCAAACCTCATGGCGTTATATTTATATTTTGTATTAAATTCATTTCAAATTAAACTCTAAATATTAAGTCATGAAGTTGAATTAATTTAGATTTAAATGATTTTTAACTATGCATTTTCGATCGTGCGTTGTGTAGAAGGAAAAAAAAATAAATAAAAAGTGGGATCGACAATAAACGTTGCTGATCATCGACGAAAAAATAAATTCTTCTAATCGCATACATTAAAAAAAGCGAATAGAGTTTTGAACACGTCTCAGGAAAGGGACGACAAAACGTTTCGACGAAAGACGACTGCCTTTTTATTAACGCCGAGTTTCTTTTTTTCTTTTTAACATCTAATCGATAGGATTTAGCTAAATAGAGAGAAAAGGATAGAGGGATAGAGAAAAAGAGAGAGAGAGAGAGAGAGAGAGAGAAAGAGAGCTAGAGAGAAAGAGAAAGAGAAAGAGAAAGAGAGAGATAGACAGAGATTTATATGTCGTATGTGCTCCAAATTGTAACATTTCAAAACCGATATTTTTCATTTTTCTAACATTATAGAGTGATATTTAAGAATTACTAGGAGATATAGAAGCAAAAAAGAGAAAAAAGAGGACGAGACGTCATTATTTGTAACGAACCAAAAAAGGAAAAGAGAAATCTAATATACATACGCATGTAGATACACGAATACACGTTACCACCAATAGACATCATTTTTCTATACGAAATTAAAGATGTAAAAATAAAAAAAATTCAATTAAAAATAAAACTATTGAATTTGTGTGAATCTATTATTCGTGAAAGAATTAATGAACGCGTACTAATATAAAATAATAGTTATTTATAACACGCGTTTAAAACATCGCCTCGTTATTTACAGTTAACGAATAGAATAACATCATCATCATACATGCGCGCACATACACCGACGAAATAATATTTTATGATTAACCATCGACTAGGTTTTTTCTAAAACCTGTATTTACCCTTCCCTGCTTTTATTTCCTTTTTTGTCTCTTTTGCTGTACTTTTTTCTTTTTTTCTCCATCAAAATACACGTTTTACATAGTATAAGTATGCACAATTAGTTCTCCCACACACGTTAAAACTCATGCATACACTTAGCACGCATACACAACATACGTTTCCTTCATTTTTGTTTTCAAACGATTCTCCATTCGCTGATTTTCTACATATTATACGTGCAAATCTACATTCGGTTTTACATTTCAGTTGCTTTGGGTTAGAGCACACATTTTCATTGGTTTTTTAAAATCATTTTTTCTTATTGCTTTCCTTCTTTTTTCTTTTTTTTTTGTGTGGTTAAATCGTTCAAATTTAAAGTCTTCCATACGCGCGTTTCCTCTCTCCTTCTCTTTTTATTCATTTTCTTCTTCTTCTTCGTCGTATCGCCATTTTCCTGTTTCTATATTTCAAGTCCTTTTTATTGGCGTGTATTGAAACTACTCCAGGGCACCAAAAAAACTCTTGCTGTATCGAAGGCATCTCGTGGCTATTGTTGTATTTTTTTTTTATTTTTATTTTTACTCTTATTATTTGTTTTTTTTTTTTTTTTGGTTAATTAGAGTTCTCTTTTCTTCGCGTTATTTCAAATTTTTAAATAAATAAATTGCGATCTCGCGCTTCGTATTCTTTATTATTTATTTATTATTATTTTTTTTCTTTTCCGTTTCTTATGCAGTTTTTTTTTTACTTAGGTAGCATGGACGTCAGAGCATCTGTACTTTGACAGCGACTTTCTACTTTCTCTCTTATCGTTTTATTTTCTTTTCTCTTTCTCTTCCTCTTCATCACTCTCTCTCTCTCTCTCTCTCTCTCTCTCTCTCTCTCTCTTTCTCTCTCTCTCTCTTTCTCTCTTTATTTCATCTCTATTATACGCAATTGCAGAAAATAGTTTCACTTTTTAAAAATTACTCTTGTCCCTTAAGTTTATCGTTAAGTTCTACCTCGTACTTCTTCGTAGTTTTGAAACTATATTATTATTATAATTATTATTAATATTATTATTATTATTATTAATATTATTANTTATTATTATTATTATTATTATTATTATTATTAATATTATTGAAGTTCTGTTTCTATTTTTCATTTCATTTTATTTTTTTTCTTCTTTTCATTTGTTTCTCATTTAATCTGTTTAATATAATGATTATTTAATAAGAGAATACGTGGGGTCATTCGGTTCGTATGAAACTAATTTTTTTCGTCGAATATACACACAGGCGATTAAGATTTATTAATAAGATTCGCATTTTTACTTTTTTTCTTTTTTTTCTTATGCGTTCAGTCACGACGGAACGTACGAGAGAGGAGCATAATAATATTTGTTATGCTATATTCTGTCTAGCTTTCTTCATTTCTTCTTTTTTACTTGTTTAAAATGTCTCTTTATATTTCCGTTCAATCGGTGATACGTTTCGTGTATGCTTATTCGTGTATGTATAATAGGTACTCTCGGTATGTCGCCTCTCTTAAAAATTAACTATTTATATATCGTTATTATACTATAGTTTTTTAAATATTCATACCGGTGTGCCCTGGGCGGTCAAAGTGAACTACTAGAAAAACCTTACCATTTAAAATCTTGCGACTCGGTTTCGCGGGTGCCATTTTATATTTTCTTACTTTTTCTTTTTTAATATTATTAATTTATTTATAAAAGAAAAGCATTTTTGATGCGTGTTCTTGGTGGTAGATTAGTAAAAAAATTAATCTGTCTTCGTCTATTGCATCTTCTGTTTGTTCTTATTTTTTTCAAAACGGCGGATCGATCGGTGCCCTCGCTCTTTCTTCCATCTCACATGCCCTTGCTTTCGTATACAGATTTTTGTCTAGGAACGATTTTTGTTTTTCTTAGTGCCGTACACCTTAATTAATCGTTCGTAATTATTATAGAATGAGGGTGTTCGAGAGTGATGCAGCGTGAGATGGGGGGGGGGAGGATAATGCGATCCATTTCTTCAACAATATTTCCTTCCTCTTCTTTTCTTTTCTTTTCTTTTCTTTTCTTTTTCCATCATCATGTACATTTTTTAGGTCATTCGCTTATAATCGTTGACAAATAATTGACGATTAAGGTGTACGGTAAATTAAATAAAATAATACTAAACTCGATTGGTTACTTTTGAGATCTATGGAATAGTATTATTTGACGATTAAAAATTAATGTCGCTTCTAAAAACGACGTTTCAAAACTTCTAACCTGAACTTTCGGTCTTCTCCTTTATTCCGAAAATCTTTTTTACTCCTGAAACATATTATCCACATAAAGCAGATCGCACATTTTCTTTTCTATTTTAATTGTTACTGTTGCTTTTATATATATATTTTTGTCGTGAATTTCGATACCCCTGGATACCTCCTCCAAAAAAGCGTGTCTTACATACATTCTCTAAATATTAACAAGTCCTATTATTAGATATCGCTATTATCTAATAATATGTAACGAAAATAAATAAAACACAAAGTATGGATATATATTGGCTTCGGGAAATTATTGCTTCGCCTAATATTACTTTTATTTCCTTTCTCGACGAAGTGTCCTCGTGCGAAGAAAACAGGAACAAATAAAAAAAAAAACAAAAAAACGAGAACAAATAAGCGAAGCAACGATATCAAATCAATTTCGAGATGACGAATGATTTAACGATATATAATCTATGATATAAACGACACAAAAAATAATTCGGTGATACGGACATGATTACGATCGATTATATTTAAAAATGATAATTACGAAAAAAGAAGTAGAAATGAATAGTAATAATAATAATAAAGAAGAAGGAAGAAAAGAAAATAATGAAACTAATAGCCACACGAAAGAAGCATCGCGTAACAGATTCTTAAACAATTTCGTATCACAGCATGCATTTATACAAATGACCTTATGACAGAGAGAGAGAGAGAGAGAGAGAGAGAGAGAGAGAGAGAGAGAGANACAGCATGCATTTATACAAATGACCTTATGACAGAGAGAGAGAGAGAGAGAGAGAGAGAGAGAGAGAGAGAGAGAGAGAGAGAGAGAGAGAAAGAGAAAGAGAGAGAGAGAAAAAGAGAGCTTTATTCGACAACTCAGTCGACGAGTTAGTGTTTTCCACGAATAAAAAAAAGGAGAGAATAAAATTAGTAATAATAAAAAGAACAAAAAATCTAATAAATGATTCTAATATTCTAAATTCTTAAATGTAATTAGTTTTTCCGACGTATATACGAGGATCTCTTTCTGAAATCCGAAGCTTCCACTCCCTCTGCTCTCTCTTCTTCGATGTAATTTTTGTCATACAACAAGTTGAGAGTGTGTGTGTGTGTGAGAGAGAGAGAGAGAGAGAGAGAGAGAGAGAGAGAGAGAGAGAGAGAGAGCTTATCATACTACAAAGAAAAAAAAAGTCCAATAAGTCAGTCCTAACGTGACGAAACAAAACGTCTTTTACTTTAGTTTTAGTTTTACTTTTTGCTATTTAAAACTACTTCTTAATTTTCTTTTCTTTCGTCGTCATCCTCTTCTCCCATTAATTTCTCCGGGTTTCTCTCGTGATCGACGCGTCAAGTTGTCGTCATTGTCGTCGTCGTCGTCATTGTCGTCGTCGTCGTCGTCGTCGTCGTGGTGGTCGTCGTTGTCGTCGTCACCGGCATCATTTGTTCCTCGTCGTTATTCATTTCTTTCCGAGAGAATTTAGTAAATAAAATAGTTCTCTCTTCAAGTGTCTTGCCATCGTGAAATTAATGCAACATATTGTGCAACATATGCACTGGTGTTTTATTATATGAGAAGAAGAGAGAGAACGTCTTAAAGACGATAGATCAATAAATTGTCTTTAGCCGTCCATTGTTGCTGTTGTAGTCGTTGCCGTAGTTCGCGACGTTGTCGAGGACAACGGTGGATGATGATGAGGATGATGTACCAAGGCCGGAACTCCCCCTACCCCTGTTCCTCCCATTGCATCGGTCTGGTGATCTCTGATGTTCGAGCAAGGTATCGGGGGTTGCTATTTTTTCGTTGGCGTTCCTCGTTGCGTCAAACCCTCGAAACGCTTGAACGTGTAGTTTATGAACACCCAATCCTTGTAAATCACCTCACCGTCCTGTGGCATTGGTGCTGATGCTGTAATACAATGCGTCTTTATCTTTCCTTCTCTTTCTTATTTTTTATCATAATTCCTACATTCGAAACTAAACTCTCGTGTCTCTGAGATATTGGGAATAAAAGAAATAATTACTAATAATTAATAAAGCGATGAAAGATGGGTAAAATGAATAATAATAATAATAAGAAGCAAGGTTCTCGTTTGTAGAGAACTAAGGAACGTTTATCAGAGAAACAGATAACAAGTGGGTGACGTATACGAGCTAACGACATCCAATATATATAGGAGAGAGCACAAAGAGCAAACTTCGTTCGAGTGTGGAAATCAACTCTATAATAATGTATCCACTTACGTATCTCTAACTTAACGTCTGGGAACTCGTCGAAATTGGATGTGTCATCGATGGATCGTACTTCGACCGGAATCGCTGCTGGTCTCTCTCTTATGTGTTCCCAATCGACGCCACGGAAGAAAGGAGCTAACTTGAGTTCTTCGATACCTCTTTGAGATCCTAATCATGTACAAATAGTACAACGTTATAGGCAACGGTTAAAGAGAATGCACAAGTAACTCTACTATCTCTCATTGCATATGAAAATGATATTTTTCTTGTCTACCTAGTCTTCTATCAGCTTCGCAACAAAATCTGATAATGGTGTCCTTAGCTTCTTCGCTGATGGGCACTTCGGGTGGAAAAACCAAGGTCTCTCGCCAATTCATCACCTTCCTGTACGTTTCTTGTGGATTCTCGCTACAAAACGGTGGGTATCCTGCAATTATCCTCGATCAATAATAATTCCAATGACGTTAAACAATGCGTATTTTGCATCGTAGATTAAAGATAATCGATAGTTGTGATCGATCAGACCTACCTATGAGCATTTCATACATGATTACTCCTAGAGACCAGCAATCGCAAGCTGGACCGTAACCAGTTTGTAGAAATACTTCGGGTGCTATGTAATCGGGTGTTCCGACTGTGCTATAAGCGAGAGCTCTTCTATTTCTTTTCCAACTTTCAGCCCTTCTTTTACTGTCCATCGCCCCTCCGCTTCCACTTCCGCACGACGTCACTGTAAAACAAGAATCGCTATAATAATCGTTATACACGTTCAACGTACGTTGCTCCAAAATAATTACGTACTGAAATCGGAAGGTTTAGCCTGACTTAGGTCACGGTAAAAATCAGTCCTGTGAGATTTCTTCAATCCCGTGCACAGCCCGAAATCAGACAGCTTTATGTGGCCCCGTGCATCCAACAATAGGTTGTCTGGCTTAATATCTCTACAATTGTAAATTCATCTAACAATACCCCCGCGCGCGCGCGCGATCTATCGAAGAAAATTGTACTTTTCTTTAGAATCTTACCTATGAATAAAACCTAATTTGTGTATGGAATCGATCGCTAACGCCGTTTCGGAAATATAAAATTGCGTGCACTCCTCGGATAGCGTGTCCTTCTTCATGAGAAGCGTCATCATGTCGCCTATATTAATTACGACGAAAAAAAAAGGAAATATTCATTGATCTCATCTCGCGTCATCGTATATCATAATAAAACCAATAGGATTCGTGACTAAAGAACTCTTACCGCCCGGTAAAAACTCCATTATTAGATAAAGATTAATGGGATCCTGAAAACTGTAATACATCTTGACGACCCACTGATGATCAGCTTCGACAAGGACATCCCTTTCAGCTCTTACGTGAGCCACTTGCTCCTTTTCGAGCATGTCTGCTTTCCTTAGTATTTTCATCGCGTAAACGTGACCAGTATCTTTCTTTTGAACGAGTCTCACCTATTTTTCAAACGAACAAAGTCAATTTGAAACTACTACTCTGCGTTCCTTGATTTATCCTTGCAATTATTTAACGGAAACTTGTTAAAGGAAAAAGAAAACTATCCGACCTCGCCGAAGGCCCCTCTTCCGATGACCTTGAGTGGTTCGAAATCTTCGACGCCAAGCCTGGACCTCTTCAACCGCAAGAATTCCGTTTCCTTCTGGGCATGTTGCAATCTCTTCTCCTGCTTTTGCTGTTCCGAGAGACCCTCATCCTTCAAAGATTCCTCCAACTTTGCTAGCCTCTGTTTTCTTTCTATGTGTTGGGCTATTAAGTTGCTGTAATAATTCTCCAACGTTACCTAAAAAGGGTCAAAACGAACAAATAAAAGAGATAGTAATATTGAATAAAGACGATAGAAGAGGGAGGAAGGGGTCGGATGATAATTTTTATAAAGTTTACTTTGCAAGTGTCTCGTCGTCCGTCTTTAAGATAAATTCACTTGGTTTTTCGATCGATTCTTAATTACTTTTTTCTCTGTTGGGTGGACAAAAAAATGACAAAAAAATGACAAAAGGGACGGCAAAAAAATACCATTTGTTGGACTAAATTTGCGAAAGATTTTTTCTAAGATTTCTCTTTCTTACCTTGGCCTTGGTAGCTTTGTCCAACGTGTGCCCGCTAAATCGAATAGTACTCTCCGTGGCAGCCATCTCCAAAACCCCTGAAACAGTATTAAACCAAAGCTAATGCGTTCAATTATTCCTTCAATTTCCTCCATTTTCTTATTCCTTTTCTTTTTTCTTTTCGAAAGAAAAATACGTTATTGAAACGTAATATCTTCTATGCAGATAGATATAACATTATCATAAGTGTTAACAATAACCGTTATCTATTTAAATGTCTTTAGCATAGTAAGCGCGGCAACACTTTTCCAAGTCTTTCTTAAACGTCATAGAAAAGTTTATTACATTCGAAATGAAATTCGATCGTAAGAAACGCGATACCGAATCGGGCTTTTTTTATTAAACATTGAATCGGTTGAAAATTCTCTTCATCGAAATGTATGATATATTACGGTTAGGGAGATGATACGTTTAGACGATCCGGCCTATCGAAATCAACTGAATAATCGTTATATGAATGTCGTTCGGATCCTTCGATCGTTTATTATTGTTTATATCAACGACGACGACGACGACGACGACGACGACGACGACGACGATCAAGGTTTCCCATCAATTAGCAAATTCCACGAACGCGATTGTTTAGTTTTCAAATATGTAACGTCATACTACGATAACCTTCCAAATGATTATTTATGATCGATTGAAAAAGAATTCAATGAAATTGTTCAATTGCGACTGGTCATAGGAAAATAACTAATAGGATTTAAACGTCAGGATTTTTACGTCGATGGCGTAGCGAGCTCCAACGAATTTTCTCTATGTGATTAATGTTAAAATGATAAAAGATTACTAACTATAAGTGTTGGATAAATAATTATCGATCCTTCGTCTTGGAACGTGCCGTTTCTGCTCGAAATTGTTGTTGGTACGATCGAAGAATCTGAAGCAGTTGAAATTTTGCGGCATTGCGAGGAAAAGGAAAAGGAAAAGGAAAAAGGAAAAGAAAAGGAAAAAGGAAAAGAAAAGGAAAAAGAAAATGTTTCAAGGGTAATCGAGACCGAAGGAAGTTAAAAACGATGTAAGACATGACGCGGTGTATGCGTTGCACGCGTCGAGTTTTTCGAGACTACTTTAGCTCGCTTGCTATTGCACTTGGTGCTGCTATTGCACTTGGTGCCTTCGAAAATAAAAACTCGCGCGTATTACCCGCGTATCACTCGTCGCGAGTAATGGGCGCCTCAAAAAGGAACCAACAAAATAGCGCTGCGCTAAGTGGCTCTTACGATAATTACCGAAGAAACTTATCCTCCTCCTATACATTGACACATTCGGCTCAAAGTAACCACGATTATCGTATTTTACATTTTTTCTTTTTTTTTTTCCTAAACTGTCAACAAGTTAAACAAATCAAATTAGAAAAAAGTATAGAAAATGTCGGCGATTAAAGTAAATTTGAGAATGGAATTACACCTGCGTATTACATTGTACGGTACAATCGTTTTGTCTACAAAACTACTGACCGTTTTGCGGCCATTTTCGAGGTCATCTTATGCTGTCATCCTATGAATCAGTCTTACGCAATTGCAAAGATGAGCAAATCGGTTGAGCTTTCAAAATTGATTGGAAACCACTATATCGCATACTCTTTTATTCTTATTCAATTTTGAAAATTCTTTTCGAACTTTTCTCCGCTCGAACAAATGCACGAAATAATTCATTGGCAAACTGCGATAATTAAGACAATACGTCATTTATCTTTCGTGGGAGGGTTCAACGAAAAATCGAACAACACTGTTTTATATAATACGCGAAAATATAATTTTACCCGAGAAGGAAAAATAATACGTTTGAAATTTATTGTTCGTTGGTTAGCAGCGCATACCGCGTCCTCGATCGTATACGGTCAAATGGAAATTAGGTCTCGCAAAAAGAGAGAGAGAGAGGAAAGCAGCACGCGTATCGCGATTTGCTGTCCATCGTGCCCCATTTCGAAAGCATTTCATTACCTTGCCTATATAACATTATTGTAAGATAAGGAAACGAGTACATAAATGAATACCTATGATGTACGCATATAAATGTATCTTTTATATTTACCTTATGTATTTTTTATTCGAGCCTCTAAAGGAAATGAAAAGATCGCGTTGGTGGTAGTCGTTAGAATATTAAGTTCTGCCGTCAAAAGTTGAACAATTCTCTTCTTTCTTTCATTAATTTTCCCATTAATTGTTTTCTCACGTCGAGAAGAATTGGTGAAAATTGTTAGAAAAGAAAAAAAAGGAAGGAAATAAATTTGCGTCTATTTTGATCGAAGAAACGCATTAAAGAAGGAAACGACGACGAATAAGCATGGGATTAAATGTCCCTTTACAAATCGATACAAGACGATAGGTATATATCGGTGACTCTATTTAACCGAGCAAGTAATAAAGTGACGTCAGCCGCAAAAAGAGATTATTAATCGATCACTGCGCGATATCGTCCATCAACGCGTCTTTTCTATCAATGATCGTCGATTCAATTTTTCTACGGAATAAAAGAGATTTTCATTTGATAATAGAAATAAATCATACATTTAGACAATATTTTCAAATTATAATCATTTGACGAAAAACATAATCATTGTTCGAAAAATACTATTTCGTTTGGCAGAACTGAACAGTTACGTACGCTTCAAAATAGAATATTTATGTTTACATTTGCTAAATATGATTTAACGAGCTCGATATGCAATATTAATGGTCCACGATTAAATAATATCATAAAATAGAAATGAAAATCATTGCATGCCACCAACCAACGGGTAGGAGGGGAAAAAAGAAAGAAGGATAGAAGAATTAATCGCACGTGCCAGCCTACTTGTTCCTGGCATTAAGGATCTCGTAATTAACGCTTACGGTATTTATCTTTTTCTCTCGTCTTTTTCCTCGCACTTGCACTATACGTACGCAGCTATGATTACCAACAACTCAAACTTCGGATAATAATCGAGATAAAAAGATAAATATCGAGATTCTTGATCTAACGTCAAAAATGTTCATACAAAAAATAATTCCTATTGTTTGGTTTTTGTACATTATTATATGGGAGGAAGAGGGAATTTGAAAAATCAATTCTGTACTCTTTTTCCAAAGTTAACAGGCTTACTTTGTAAAAAAGGATTTGGCAAGGTAAAATTACTGATCGAATTCGAGTAGCAAGAAAGTATCCTTCCCATTCAAATAGATCAACTACAAATTATTGACCTTTGCAAATAATTTCTTCTTTTTTTTTTCTTCGCAAAAATTAGCAACAACAACGTAGGGGAAAGTAAGAAGAAACTCGTTTCACGTTTAAACTCTTACAACACGGTTTCTTACATAAATAAAATCCAAGGACGGGACAGAGATCGCAAGAAAGTGCATACATTCGCCGGACAAGAAGAGAAGGAAGGAATTATATCGGTTATACCTTTTCTCTTTGTCTTGGACGAACATAGATATACACGCATACATAAATACGTATGCACTTGCGAGTACTTTGCTGCTGAATTTTTTCCTAGGGCTTCGTTTCATGCCGACGTTTCGTTACGTAATAAACTATTAAGCAGACCCCCCTTTGAGCGAGGAAAAAGGGTCGGAGGAAAAAGACTGAGGTGAGGATGTCGCGCGTCAAAGGGATCCGTTTGAAAAAAGGGTTGAAAGATGCATTTCAAACATACCTTGTGTACAATTAATCAAATGATTGATATTAACAAATAAGATTAAGTAATTGTGTATTTTTTAGCCGGATACTCTAGTTAGCCTGAAAGTACATCTACTCATCGGGGTCCTTGGCCCAAAAGTTTTGGCCGAGCAAGCACAGCGTGCATCTATCTCCTATCTTTTCATCTCTCTTATGTATTTCTCTTTTATTGTTAGTCTGTTCGCAAAGGCTCTCGCCTAATCTCTGCTTCTGCGTCCTGTTTGCGTTCTCGGTCTAAATCTCGCAAGAGCGTGGCCGAACCGCAAACACACACACACGAGCGCGCACACGTTGGAGGAAATTGCAAACTCGAAGAACGTTGTGGATACATAACCGAGATACGACATCTCAAACGATACTACAATTCAATTGACCTTAATTCATTTCGATCGGGGATCTTAATTAATCGGACATTCATTTCAATTAACTACGTATACACAGAGTATTTGAAAAATGATGAAGGCGATAAGGGAAATGAAAAAATACAGCTTTATACGGAAGTGCCACCACTTCCGATGCGAGTAATCACTGCTGGACTAACTTCCTCTCGTTATTATTACTTTTTTTTCTTTCTTACGTCTCTTTCCGAAGCCGTATCTGATAAAAAAAACATAGCCGTTTCGGCTCGGGAACCGATTTCTCCGGTTTGTCAAATCACCCGCAGAGAAATCAAAGAGTCTCGACTTTTTAATAGATCCATTCGATTTTCCTACAACCACCACCACCACCCCCATTCCTACATTCTCATCTTTTTCTACCTGGCGTACTTCCAATCTTTCCTACTGTTCTCGAATGCGATTACTGACGGAACGTGAAAATACGTTACATGTTAACAACAAAATAATAGAAAGGGAGAATTAAGGAACAATTGTAGGATCCCAAAAAAGGTACGTAATGTATCGCGAAAAAGTAGGAAAGCTGTTTCTCTTGCCGCTTTTTTTTATCGTTCTTTCGAAAGAAAAACACTCGCGAGCCGAAATAATACTCCGAGAAAATAAAAATACTTCTTGAAGGTTTGCTTTCATCCGAATCGCGAATACGCCCACGTGCGCGTGTATGTAAATAATAAGCATAGAGACCGGGTGTCCTAAAAGTCGCTTAGAGAAAGACAATGTTGAGTTAACGGTCCATTGGTCAGGGAGAAAAAAATTTGTCCATTGGACAAATTTAATTGCCGTGCTTCTAGCCTAAGCATTAAAATTAAATCAATGGACCGAATGTTTGCTTTTCCATTTCCAAAGATCCAAAGAGGTAAGAAGTAAGAACTTTTGGGAGAACCTGTATCCATATAGGAGAAGGTGGTTGTTAGATGGAAAGGAGAGATATATAAAGTACGCAAGAAGTAACCTAGCGGATCGATCTGCTAAGATTT